GTCAAGCAGTATTTGGCAAAGAAACATTGTGCACAAAAGCTTTCAGGTCTGAAGAGTTTTATGAAAATGACCAATTAGAAAATTGTAAGCAGCACTGAAGCATCCCCAGAGGAGCCACACAGGGAGTTCCTGTGGGAGGGAAGTAAAGGGAAAATACTCAGATCTCTCTGGGGCTCCCTCTTCCCTCGGATTGGGCCTTCCAACTGGCTGATAGCTAAGGAACCGGATGGAACCCAAAGGGCAAGGGAGACAGGTGATGGCATCTGTAGCATCCAGGAAGAACTGCACATCTCACCAATAACAAGGTCAACGTCTTACTCCTACACCTAGGTGTTCAAGAAGCAATGGATTAAGAAGGAAATCAAAATGATACTATAAAACCATGAGATAAAACTCATGAGTTGCAGCCAAAGCAGTAGGCAGGAAAATTTATATCCTTATATATTATTTTCAGTATTTAAGTGAAGGTAGAGAAAAAGCAGTCAAGCACAAGGAAGAAATGAAATAGATAAAAGCAGAAATTTAAAAAACTTTAAAACAACACAAAAAAATCTACACCTAGGCATATAACAGCCAATATTCCAGAAACTCAAGGGAAGAACAAAATGCTACCAGCAGTTAGAGAAAAGAAACAAATTACACACAAAGGACAGCCCATCAGAATCACAGCAGATTTCTCAATGTAAAGCCTCAAGGCAAGAAGAGCTTGGAGTGACGTATTTCAAGCCCTAAAAGAAAACAACCTGCAACCCAGGTTGATGCATCCTGCAAAACTATCTTTTAAAATCCATGGAGAAATAAGAGACTTTCATGACAAAGAATACCTGAGGAACTTCGTGAATACCAAATCAGCACTCCAAACAATTCTAAATAATATCTTAGGAAAAAATTTTAAAACAAAAAAGCACAATTGAGCTGGTCAAACAAAACTAGTAACTAGTTCTTAGAAAAGTCTATCTAGTGAGTTAAACTCTTACAAATCTACGCAAGACAAACAGAGAAGGCATGAACAAACAAGATCTCATTAAGGTTATAAATACGAATAAAACTTAAGAAATTACTAAGAAGCTGGGGACAGTGGGGCATGCCTATAATCCCAGCACTTGGGAGGCTGAGGCAGGAGGATGACAAGTTCCAGTATCACCTGGGCAATTTAGATAGGCTCTGTCTCAAAAAAGGGGCTGGGGATGCAGTCCACTATAAGTCTTGGGTTTAATCCCCAGTACCACAAAAACAAGCAAACAAAAAACATACTAAGAACACATTATACCAATAATTTTGACAATCTATATATAGAGCAACTTGTAGGAAAAATTTAACAGGCAATATTTACTGAATGCTTATAACATGTCAGGTATTTATGTAAGTAATTTACTTATATTAAATAATTTAATAAAACTACTCTATGAGATAGGTTTTGTTATCTTTAATATTGAGAAAATTGAAGCTTAGACAAGCAATTTGCTCAAAATCATACTCACTAAGAAATGGCTGATCTAGGATGTCATAGGCCGTCCATTCCAGAGCCCAGACCTTTATACTAAACTGCCTTTCAGAATAAGAAAATTATCAAAATAGAAAATGGTAACTGAGCAATAACTATAAAAGAAACACACAACATCCACTCCCCAAGGCCTAGATCCTTTTAAGGACCAATTTAGCTGTACCCTCAAGACAGAGACCATTCTCACTGTGTGAAACCAGTCCCAGACCACGCAAAGAGAGGGGAGCTGTTCGGCTCATTTAGAAGGTGAGCAATGGTGGGAAGGGCTGTAGTGAGGTGGCAGCACATACGCTTCGCCTGTGCAAGGCCCTGAGTTCAGTGTGTAGCACACACACACACAGATAATTAAGGTGAACAATAAATGTTCATGGATTAGAAGATCTGATATTGTAAAGATGTCAAAATTAATCTATAGAATTTGTTGGATCATGGGGTGATATACCTACTGGTGGACTGATGTGGTGTCAGGAGGTGGGGCCTAGTGGAAGAGGTGGTCACTGGGTATGTGATCTGGGAAGATACGTTCTCTTTCTGTCTCTCTCTCAATGTTTTGCTAAAATAAAAATGCTCGCATAGCAATATAGATAAATCTCCTAAATAAATCCAGAGAGAGAGAAAAATAAAAGCCAGGCACAAAAGAACATAAATGGAATTGCACAGAGTGTAAACAAAACAAATAGATAAACTAATCTAGGTGAGTTAACAGGGGTCACCTTTGGGGTGAGAAGGAGCAACTGAAAAGCAGCAGGAGGGAGCCTGTGGTTGTGCTCTGATTTTCTGTTTGTTGATCTGGATGCTAGTTACATTGGTGTGCTCAACATGTGAGCACACACCACTGTGCACACTTATGATCAGTGCACACTCCTTATGTATATGATGCTGCAATAAAAATATGTATGACAGTAAGTAAACAGCAAAGTGGAAATTTTTTTTTACAGGTATGATAAAGGTTTAGTCATATATGAAGAACTCACATAAATCTGTGATTAAGAAGGCAGGCTGGGGCCAGGATTTAGCTCAGCGGTTCCACCGCCTGCCTTGCAAGGGCAAGGTCCCGAGTTTGATCCCAGGTACAAAAAAAAAAGAAGGTAGGGTGGGAGTGTAGCTCAGAGGTACAGCACATTCTTAGCATGTCAGACCCTGGATTCGACCCCCAGCACCAAAAACAGAACAAAAGCTGGCATCCAATGGAAAATGGACCCCCAAATAAAGAAATGCTCAAACAAAGAAAATAAATGTATAAATGCAGAAAATGTAAATTAAAACAATGGAATGCTATTTTTGCCTATCAAGTTAGCAAAAGATTAAAGGACACTAATAGAGTTGTTGATGAGCCGAGCATAGGGGTCCATGCCTGTAATTCTCTCATTCTAGGAGGCTGGGGCAGGAATATCCCAAATTCAAGCCCAGCTTGGGCAAGTTAGCAAGGCCCTTGTTTCAAAATAAAAAATGAAAAGAAGGCTGAGGATGTAGCTCAGTGAGAAGGCTAAGAGTTCAACCACCAGTACCAAAAAAACCAAAAAAAGTTATTGATGAGAATTTGGTGAGACTAACATACCCTTGTTCCTAATAGAAATGGGAACTGGTATAACCTTTCTGAATAAATCTTTTTAAAAGGTCGTGTTCTCACTTTTGTTTTTTTTTTCCTGGAGATTGAACTCGGGACCTCCCCCTTGCCAGGCAGGTGCAGTGCCACTGGGCTACATCCCGTGCCCAAAATGTCCTGTTCTTTGACCCACTAGTTTCTAGAAATTTTTCTGAATTGTAGTTAAAGATGAATTTGTATCAATGTTGATTACAATGGCATTTTGAGAAAATCTATATATAAAATGGCTATGGTACATATGGGTCGTGGGATATTATATTCTTAATGTTTTCAAAGAATAATGAATAAGGAAATATTTATGACATATTTAAGTGAAAAATCCATACAAAATTCTATGTGGTGTATGTTTTGTGTTAAAAAGTATCACACACATAAACATACATTTGAATAGAAAGTCTGTAAGAACACATAGCATACTGTTAACAATGGCCATTTTTGGATGGTGAGACAATAGATAATTTTTGTTTTACTTTCCACAATAAAATGTTTTTGAGCATTTATTACCATTACATTCAGAAAAATTTTACAATAGTGTAAAAATAAAATACAGCCACCCAGTTTCCCTTACTCTAGAAATCTAAGCAACCTAGATTTCTGTCTCCTTCAACTCCCACATTCAATCTGCCATTTCCTCAGTTTTACCTTAGAAATGCCTGCCCAAGTCATTATTTCATCATTTCCTCTCTCATTTCCAAAATTCTGGCCTCAGCCTTCAGAGTGAACCCACATCCAGCCTCTCTTCATTACAGTAGAATGGTCACATTTTCCAGTTAAATTTATAGCCACATTGAACCACTTTACATAGCGACCCACCATCCTGGAGGCCCTAAAAAATGCAAGCCAGGCACTTTCACACCTCCCATCTTCAGCGCTCTTTCCTTATAATACATTTTTCTGTCTTTCTAATCTGATTCACAGTTCAAAATTCACCTATGCTACCATTTACTGGGGGTAGCTCTTGGAGGTAGGCGAGAACAGGCAGCTGCTTCCAAATTAACGCAATGGTAGTTGGTACCTATTTCAACATTTAACATTTTGCACCGTTAGTGCCTCGCTCTCTTGTTGTATGACCTGGACTACTTCCATGCATTCAGTTTTAAAACAATTTTCTCAAAACCCAGTTGGATGCACGAAAATAAAGCATACCTATGCATCACATAGCTACAGGGCTGTGAGTTTTGACCCGTGTCTGATCGAAAAATGGCACACAAAACACTCGCCTGATTTTTTTTTTTCATTCAAAATGGCAGAGAACGTCTTAAAATAGTGCTATACAAAAGCATTCACATCCAGAGCCTCGATTCAGCAGAACTGGCTACACCTAGCGCAACAGCACAGGACAAAAGAATGGAACCTCGATGCTGAATTGCCCTGGCCCTCTCCGCCCACCGCAGGTCCCACGCCCAGAGACTTGACGCGGCGCTGGAACCCTGGCACCTGCTACCTGCCTTCCGAGGGCCACGCCTGGACCGCACATGGTGACCCGCGGCTACCAGATCTGACCCGCAAAAGACCGCGGAGCAGAGGGGGAGGTGAAGCAGTCGCCGGGCGTCGGGCTGGCAGTCGGGGCCCCGCCCTAGCCAGGCGGGGTGCTCCCCGCGGCGCCTCCAACCCGGGCGGGAACAGACACGGCTCGTGCCCAACCACGGACAGCCGGCCCCGACCGGGCTCTGGGAGGGCTTGGGGCAGAGGCCGGTTGCCGCCAGGGCATCCCCGGCTCCACCTGTCAGGCTGCGGCCACAGCTAGGCCCCGAAATCGCGGGGCTCGGTGGCTCAGACCCGCAGGAGCGCGTCAGCCAATTCTTCGCTCCGCGCCCGCCTGGCCTCCTCGCTTTCCTTGTGGTCTTTCTCAAACAAAGGCATCCACGCCCACCGCCATTTTCCCCTTACCTCAAAAACCACCTCTTCGTCAAACTCCGGTGTCATCCTTCTCCGCCATGCCACCCACCTCAGCACGATGGGAAATGAAGGCAAGAGAACAGGCGGCACCCAGGCATACGCCTCTCCCCGTCCCGCGGGTCCTGACAACTACAGTTCCCGGCAAGCTTCGCGGCTCACGCCCCCTTTCTCGGCCGCCTTATTGGAGCAGAGGATGGGCGTGTGGGCGGTGAGGGGCGGGACTAAGAAGAAGCTTCAGCTTTCCGATTGGAGAAAGCAGCGGCTTTTGTCTGCCTTTTACGGCTGCTTCTAGCAGGGGGCGTGTGGAGCCCTGAGTTTTGTGGAACTCTTGAGGAGTACGCGCCGGCGGAGTCGCGGTGAGCGCTGCTCGGGCACGACTCTGGCTTGGCTTTCTGCTCGAGCGTGGTGGGGCGGCGCTCTCGCTCGCCCGTCTGCGGTTCGGGGCGGCTGGCGCCCCGGAGAGCCGCCGGGTCGCTCGCTGGAGCCGTCTGCGTCTCCGGAGACAATGGACTGGGACTGGAGCACGGATTGAGGGCGCCGGCGGGGAAGCGAGCCGCGCTTGGAATTATGACTTCTGCCGCCGGTGAGTGTCTGGGAAGTTTGGCGCTAGCGCTGCCAGCTCGGGCGCTCGGCAGCTCTCCTCCCCGGGGCGGGCGAGCCGGTAGCCTCTGCCTTCCCGCCTCGGAGCGCTGCGCGACCTCAGGACCTCCCTCCGCAGGCCGCCAGGTGAACCTCGACGGCAGTGACCTCGGGGCGTCCCTCCTCTCCCACGATCGGGGGTCGCTCTGCCTCTGCCTGGGAGAGGTGTGTACGTTTGCACGTGAAGAAACCAGTTTTTCCAGGAAAAGGTGTTCCCGGCATGAGCTCGGCCACCAAACTGAGTCACTGGAAGCCTAGGGTCGACCGGACACCGACACCATTATCCGGAGCTTGCCGGAGACATTGTTCCTCCTGCCCTGGGAGCCCTTGGATTGCCTCTGGCGATTGTTGTGCTCCTCCTGAGCTCTACTTCTGTAGAAATTTTTTGTCTATCTACTTAGTGTCAGCAAAGGGTTATTTTCTGTCCTCCTCCTATAGACCTTTTCTCTCATCTAAGTGACAGAGCCTCTAGTATTCACCTTTGTGTTTTCGGCCAGTCCTGGTCGTTGTATGAACAGTCGTAAGGAATAATTTTTATTTTCCAAAATATTACAAAAGTGGTATCATCACTTTATAAGAGCATGGATTAATTTTTAAAGCCAGAATTTAGTAATGTATTTTTTTAACCTTTTTTTCCATATTGAAAGAAACTTTGATTAAAGTTTTATAGCAAAATAAAGCTTCCCCTCAAAGTTACTTCTAGAATCAGCGCTTTAGTATCAGATGAAATTTTTGTTGCTTTCCTTGGCATTTCTTTTAAATTCCTGCACTTGAACCTGTCAAACAGCACTGTAAAAGTTCTGATTCGTATTAGTTCTAAAACCTAGATAATTAGTTCTAAAACCTAGATATATTGGAGTGTTGTGTTGCTGGAGGGCAATCTTGCCAGATTACAACTAACCAGGCAAGAAGTTAGCCAATAGAAATAAGGAAACAAGGAGTGAAATGTTTATGTAGATAGAAGATGTGAATCTTTTCATTTTGATGTTTTGTGTATGTATCTGAGCTAAATCGTTATGCGATATGGTAGTTGTCTTACCTTATTTATAACCTTTTTTTTTTTTACTAACAGGAGACCTTCCACTTACATAATGAATTATTTTCATCCTAAATTTGTGCCTCACCTTTATTCAAGCTTTTTTAAAAAAAATTACTGAACCAGTATAATTAATTTAATTTAAAAATGGATAGAAAATTTAAAATCCTTTCACCCAGTTATAGTTCTTTCTGTCTTTGGAGTGTAAAATGTATTTAAAATATTAATACCTTATATGTATCATTTTTTTGGTTTGAGTCCTAACAATTCATAATGAACAGGTACAGAAACACTTGACATTTATATATGTAAACATAATTTTTAGGGCCCACTCTGGAAGTTTAAGTCTTTCATCCCAATTACCTAGGATAATGCAAGCTATTTTTATGTTTTATCAACTTTCCTATTAAAGAAATCCACAGACATTTTTGTGGTGTTTAAAAGAGGGACATTTCCTGTGTCTCGCTGAGTTAGTAGGTTTTTAGCATGGCTCACTCGCTAAAGCATTAACTACTCTCTTACTCACCCATCTTGTAAGATTTATTATAATTCTTTCTTATGTCTAAATGGTGAATATGGAAAAGAATTGAGATTTACTTCTGTCCCATTCTTGGAAAGTTATGTATACATCCTTCTTAAAAGCAAATTATGCTGCTTTATGGCATAATAGTCAAATTCAAACTTTCAGGAAAGTTTTTCATTTGGAGGAGGGGTTATTTTTAGATCTAATCTGTGATATTTGAGATGCTTGATTCAATCTAAGAAAATACTGTATGAGGAACATAGAATATCTAAATTATATCTCGAACAAGAGTTTGCTTTATGGTTTTTTCTGTGTTCTGTGAAATGGTGCCCTTAGCAGAGATTTTAGAATTATTCTGAGTAGTATATGAAACAGGAGAGATAATTATAAGTGTATCTTTTTGAGCTATCTCATTAATGTCTGTGCTTTCCCTTTTGGCTGGTATAATAACCCAAAGAGTGCACATGTGTAACAGATGACAAGTATGTTTGTAATAGTGAGTAAAATAGTCCTTTACTTTCTTACCTTCTGTTTCCCCAGAGCCAAAGGAGCCAAACAGCTGTGTAAATAAAAGATTTGCTGCGTTGCTCTAAACAGGCTTTGGGCCTGACTGTTGATGTTGTAGTAAGATCCAAAGGTGCTGGCTTCATTTCCAAATGCTGCATTTCTTTCAAGAGTTTGACATTGGAGCACACCATAATGTAATGGCTTATTATTATTATTTTGAGTTGTATTTCTTCCAAAATAGAGCCAATAAAAAATAATAATGGGTTTTGGATATTACCACACCAGAAACAATTAGTTGAACACTTGTCCTATTAAGCTTTGAGGAATTATGCAGCAATCCTATTGAAGCTGATTCTGCTAACTTTTCAAAGTATTACTTCATGTTAAAATGGATATTGATTTTTTTTCATAAAGAAGAAATCTGTCACTGAGATGTATTAAAGAGTATGTGTATGTGGCAGCTGATTATTCTCAGGTCAAGATACACAAAAGTGCACTCGTAAAAATAATACAGGACAAAGAGGCTACAGCATGTCATAGTTCTCTTGAAACAAATAGCTCAGAAGTTATAATCTCAGATTTATATAGATTTTGGAGACCTTTCAGCTGTCCTATGTGTGAGTGAGGAGCACGAGACAGCCAGGCATGCACAAGGACAGACTGCGGCAGTCCCTTCCCTGACTGATATCGGCTTCCTCCGATACACAGGTAACCCACAGTGGTAAACTCAGATTCAGTTATTTATTTAACTCTGTGAGTGGGCAGCAAGGGCTTTAGGAACATAATCCTGTGCTATATTTATTGGAAATGAACCCCAACTCACAATTAATTTAATGTCTGACACTGAGAGAACAGGAATTTGTATCTCTTAGAAGCAAACTCAAAAGACTAAAATTAGTACTAGAGATTAAAAAGTGATCTAACAAAAAAGCCAAGATGGATTGGTTAATTGACCCTGAAGCTTCTGGCATGGCCCTAAGGTTCAGAAAGTAAAAGGTCAATTAGGTGAGATAAGTTTTTTAAAAATTGTGAGTAAAATCCCCATAACATAAATTTGCCGTCTTGACCATTTTTAAGGGTCTAGTTCAGAGATGTTAAAACATATTGTTGTGTGGCTGCATTTTCAGAACTCGTTTCATCTTGCAAAACAGATTTTTTCCCCTTCTAAAATCGCAGAGGTAGAATGTTTTGAGAATGACAGAAATGAAATCAGCCTGACAGTCTGTCAGTTTTTATTGATAAAGTGGCGGGGTTTGGAAGAGTTCTAGGGCGTTCATACTTTCTCTTGAGACTTGACTCGATAGGCTGAGAATTTAAAAACCTTTGCAGCAAGTTTTATCATTGAGCTTTGAAGGGTTCTGCAATTATTTTCTGCCTAAATGAAAGGCTTCAAACTAATAGTATGCTTATTGAAAAACTAACAGAAAATTGCCAACTTTGGGACTTTGTATTGTTATTGTGAACGTTCCTCATCTTCCTTTCTTTGATAGCTTTGCCTAAGATTTGAGTGACAAGGCTTCCTATCAGTGGTTTGGGAGAGTCCTCCTTAGTTGGGAAAAGGAAGTAGAGCACCTTACTCTCTTTTTTTTTTCTTTTTTACTCAGTTCTATGTCATCTCCCCAAGTGTTATGACTAATTTCCTTTGTTGAAAAGAAAACCAACTCTAAATGAAATATGGGAAGCCTCTGTGTGTTCAAGTAAATGAGACAATCTTTAGCAGTCTTTTGCAGTAGATATTGTGAGGTTTTTTTCCCCCCAATAAGTAAGATTTTTACTAAACATTAGGTCCAGATGAAGGAACAAATGTAAGCATAAGATAACAATGTTTGACCTCAGCTCCTTGGGTAAATATAGTTAAGTGACAGTGTGGGGGAGAGTATCTTAAAGGGACTTAAAAGAAATATGTTAAGTAGTCTCTTGGTATCTTTTTCTTTTGCCAGCCTTGGGTGTAAAGCTGTTATCAGGTACCTATAGGCTAAAAGCAGGTCTGGACACATTTAGCATTATATAATATAATAGACATTAAGTACGTACTTTAATGTTGAAGAAGAATTGCTACACTAGAAGTTGCCATTATCTTTTAAATGCACTGGAATAGTATTATTAATGAAAGATAGACATTGTAATCACTTGTAGAACATAAAGGAAATAGAGACCAAATGATTAGATCAGGGGTGGGGCCTAGGCATGTGACTTTTTATAAAATAAAGCTCCAGGATGGAGTTGAATGAGAATCCCCTTTTGACAACTCCTGCACGGAGAAATACTAGCTTTACTGTGAGCATCAAATGATACCAAAGAACTTTCAGGTTGTTTTTTTTTTTTCTCACTACCAGGGATCGAACTCAGAACCATGCGTTTGCAAGGCAGGCGCAGCACCACTGAGCTAAATCCCGGGCTCTAGAACTTTCAGTTTTTAAAGTTAGAAAATTTCAGATTTCTATATTCTTTTTAAAAGATCCTTTAGATTGAGTGTGGTGGTACATACCTGTAATCCTGGTATTTAGGAGGCTGGGGTAGGAGGATTGTGGTGAATTCAAGGCTAGCCTGGGCTATGTAGTGAATTCAAGGCTAGCCCGGACTCCCTGATGAGACTTTGTGTCAAAAAAAGCCCCCCCCCAAAAAAAAACCCCTTTATTTTGGGATTTATCTATTGAGGTAGATAGATTTTTTTTTTTTTGAGACAGGGTTGCTAAATAGTCCAGGCTGACCTTGAATCTCCTCCTGCCTCAGCCTCTGAGTGCTGAGATTATGGTTTGTGTTACTGCACCTGGCCAGAGGTAGACAAGTTTTGATAAAAAGTATTTATTTATGCAACTCTACTATATTTCATGGTGTATGAAGAACATTATTGCCTATTTACATGAGAAACTTGAAGAGTTGTGTCATGTAGGTAAATTCATTTTTCAGTACTCAATGAGTGAACAGAAGTCAGTTATTTTATTTAGTAACAGAGTTGGAAGAAACAGTTTTGGATTTACTAAGAAATGTACATCAGGGCTGGGGCTTTAGCTCAGTGGTTTCGCCGCCTGCTGTGCAAGCGCAAGGACCCGAGTTCGATCCCCGGTACCAAAAAAAAAAGAAAAAGAAATGTACATCATGCCCGAAGCTATGTATACTGGAATTTAAGGAATTTTCAACAGTAATGTTGACTCTGTACAGTGCAATACTGTATACTGTACCTAGTAAAATGTCAAGTTCATTATGTTAAAATTAAAAATGTTAGCCAGCCATGGTGGCGCACACCTGTAATGCCAGCACTTGGGAGGCTGAGGCAGGAGGATCACTGCTAGTTCCAGGCCAGCCTTGGCTATGTAGTCAGTTCATGGCCAGCCTGGACTACATAGTGAGACCCTGTCTCAAAAAAAATCAAGAATTTAAAATGTTACCCATTTAGTCATGTATCATCTTGTGCTTTGGTTTATCATCTCGTTATGACTTTTTTTTTTTTAGAGACAAAGAAGCCACCAGTGGCCCCCAAGCCAAAGTTTGTGGTGGCAAATAATAAGCCAGCTCCCCCTCCTATTGCACCGAAACCTGACAGTGTGGTTGTCAGCATTCCACAGTCAACAAAGAAAACTAAACCAGCAATTGCACCCAAACCGAAAGTTCCAAAGAGCTCACCTGTGGAAGAGCCCACGCCGTCACCGCCGAGGAAGAGCACCAAGAATGTGGAAGAGCGTAAACCAGAATTGCCCCAAAGAGCTGACAGCTTTAATTGCAAAAATGTAGGAGATCAGAGCATTGATTATATTTCACCCGAGCGTCCCTTCGGTTCTGAATGCACCCATAAGGTTACGAATAAAAAGAGTACGTGTGTAAAGCAGCTCGTTTTAGAGCCCTTGGAAATGAAAGAAAGTTTAGAAAACAGTAAAAGGGATGAGTCCTCTTTGATCAAAAAAACTCCGATGAAATGGAATTCTGGTGAGAATTTTAGGCTGCAAAGTGGAGTGGTTTTAAAGGCAAGTATCCTAGAAGTGAAGCTCAAAGATGCTTTGAAACAGCAAATGTCAGCTTTTAGTTCCCCACAGAAGCAGTCGTCTGCAGACAACCCAGAAATGAATGGTGGCTGCAGTGCTGACACGAGGTTCAGAACTGATCTTCCAGACTCGTCACCTTCCCCGTCCAGCTTTGAAAAGGCGCCTGTTGCTCACCGCTGCCACTTGCAGCTTCCTAGGGGTGAATTTCAAAATCTTGAAACTGACGAAGAGGGAAGCGAAAAAAGCCATAGCTCCTTTCATCCATCCGAACCAGAAGCTCTGGGAAACGGTAAAAAGAATACCTTTGCATCTTCAGATGAAGTTAGTAAGAACACAAAAGTCAGAGATCGTAGCCCCTTAGAAACTGACTCAGTACCACGTACCCCCACATTTCCTACTCCGAAGCCCAGAAAGACACGTCTGTTACGCCAAAAACATGTAGATACTCCTAGTGGAGGTGCCGAGGAACTGGAGGGTTCAAATAATAGCTCTTCTTGTCTTGGTGAAGATAGTTTGAAAAACAGTGAAGTCGCTGTTCTTCAGGAGAATGTTTTGTGTCACCGGGATTCAGTGGACAAAGTGAAGCCGGGAAATAAAAGTGAACTGAATAGCAGCTTCAACAGGGACAGGCAAGACTCATGTCACGAGACAGCTTCCCTTGAGAACACAGCACCTTCTTTAGATGCAGACTCTAATTTGAGTTCTGACAGCAGGGCAGATGTAGATGGTCCTGGTACATCATTTGGTGCGGACCAAGGGACTCATTTTGTGAGATCCAATGCCCTGTCTTGGAGTCTGCCTAAGCAGCTCAAATTAACTGGCAGCAAACATCTGCCAGCTGGGAACCTGGGAGTGTCTGCCCCCCTGGAGCAAAAGGACTGTATAATGAAAGAGGAAAATTCCTCAAGAATTGTCCCTAAGAAACCTCAAAGGCATAGCTTGCTTGCTTCAGGAGTGCTCAAAAAGGCTGCTTCTGTGGAGTTGGTGGAGAAAAGTTCTTTTCCCTCAGTTGAAGTAAAAAGCTCAGGGAAGGTTCTAGAAAGAAATCACCTGCAGCGCTGGTGCGCCCCGGACCATGCTAGGTCATCTTCCTTCGATGTGCCTAAACAGACTTCAGAAAAGCCGGTGTGGAAATTGCCTCATCCGATTTTACCCTTTTTAGGGAACTCCGAATCTTTGAAGTCTGTTACTGTGCCTTCCAGTAGTGAGCCTTCTTCCGCTGCCCTAACCAAGCCGAGGGCAAAGTCGTTATCCTCCGCGGATCTGGACAGGTGCACCAAGCCCTGCAAACACTCTCCCAAGAAAAATTCTCTGAGACAGTTGCTCAACAGGAAGCTGTCCATGTATTTCGTAAAGGGAGACTTTCAGAAATTTTGGTTCAGGAGTGGCCAGCTCGGAGACACGAGCAGAGCTTACCTGGCGGGCGGGGAGCGGAGAGGGCTTGGAAGTGACTGGTGTGGCCTGATGGCGGCCGACCTGGAGAGGAGAGGCAGACCCAGCAAGGCGAATTCTGTCGACCACTACAGCCCGGACTCTCAGAAGAGGAAGAAGAAGCCTTGGGGCCGGGCTAGTGCAGCCGATGGCCCGAGAGCCGAGTCTCTGGACGAGCAGATGCTCTCCACAGAGCCCTCCCGTGAGCAGCCTGGCCAGTCTGTGACAAGTGTCTGGGCGCCGGAGTACGAAAATGTGCGCCACTACGAGGAGATCCCGGAATATGAGAACCTGCCCTTTGTCGAGGCTGCGAGGAAAGCGCTCGAGTTGGAAGGGCGGAATTCCAGCAGCGCGGAGGATGCCGACGCCAGTGTGTACGAGGTCCAAGAGGCGTACGAGGCGTACGAAGCTGCCGTTGACCGGCTGCACCCTCGCCCCGGACATTCGCGTTCCAGGTAACAGTGAGGTGCCCGGCAGGCGCGGCACCTCTTTTTTGTTTATTTTCATTTTCTGCAGTTCATGCGTGCAGTACACAGGGATCACGTTCCTTCTGGGGATGGGCACATGCCGGTAACACATCTTAGTATTTTTCCTCCCCTTCCCCTCTCCCGCTCCTCCCCTCTATCTCTTCGTCTCCTTCGCATTTGTAAACAATCTACCTCCCTATTTCCTGTCTTATTTTACTCTTTATTTATACTTTGGGTTTTTCATATAAGAGAAACCACGCGCTATTTAAACTCGTGTGTCTGATTTGTTTCACATAATATATGGTTTCAAGGCGCATCCATTTTTGTACAGGTGGCTCAGGTTTATTCTTTAAGTCAGAATAGTACTCCATTGTGTATAAATGTCACATTTTCTTTATTTGTCATCTATGGATAGACTATAAGCTGCTTCTAAGATTTAGCTATTATGAACTGTGCTGCTATAAACATGGGCATGTATGTGTCACTGTAAATATGTCTTTAACTCTTTCGGGAAGATATCTAGAAGGGGAATATCTGGGTCAAATAAAATTTCTCTTCTTAGCTTTTTTTTTTTTTTTTTGGTACCTGGGATCGAACTTGGGTCCTTGTGCTTGCAAGGCAGGTGGCAGAACCACTGAGCTAAATCCCCGGCTCTCTTCTTAGCTTTTTGAGGAATCTCCATACTGATCTCCAAAGTGGTTGGTACTGCTTTACATTACTACCAAGGATGTAGAAGGGTTCCTTTCTCCCTGCAGTCCTGCCAGCATTTACTAGTATTTGATTTCTTGAGGGTGGGTCTTCCTCCTAAAGTAAGGTGGAATCTCAGAGTTGTTTTAATGTGTGTTTCTTGAATGGCCAGTGGTGTTAAACACTTTTCCATGTATTTATTGGCCAATGGATGCCACATTTCTGCATAGAACATTGATTGCAATTAACCTCCTGCAGCCCTGTGAGATACGGATGCAGGGGGGAAAGTCGCTCAGTGAGGGACCAATGGAGAGACATTTTGTCCACGAAGCCTCTCCTGGTAGAGTGGGAATGAGAATTTGCATTGCAAGCTTGGAGTTGTGGACTTAATTTAGCAGCTGAGCCAAAGAATGAAAGAGCAGCAATGTAGCCACGGCAAGGAAGGCCTGGAGCCTCCAGGCACTGACTCAGGAGTCAGCGTGGAACCTGGAACTTCTGGAAATTGGTCATTTTAGTGAGGTTTTTGTGCTCAGGATAGGAAATCTGAAGTTATTGAAACCCAGGTATTTACTTATGGTGTCCTTATCAGGTAAAAACTCTAGGTTTGTAGAATGTTTTTTTGTTTTTGATTTGTTTTGTGTTTTGAGACAGGGTCTCCCTATGTAGCTCAGGCTGGCCTTGAACTCCTGGAGATCCTCCTCACTAAGGAGTTAAATTCTCCAGCATCTTATTAGAGCCTCCAACAAATAGGAAAACAGGTCTCTTGTTTTCCTGCCATCTTCTGGGTAGTCCAGGCTGGTCTCAAACTCGCTGCAGTCCCCTGCCTCAGCTTCCCAAGTACTGAGGTTACAGGTGTGCACCCTCGGCCTGACTCTCTGTTTTGCTTTGTTTTTTTTTTTTTTTTTTTGGTACCAGGGATCGGACTCAGGATCTTGTGCTTGCAAGGCAGGCGTTGGCACCACTGAGCTAAATCCTTGGCCCTTGGTAGCTGGGTAGCTTCCTGGGTAGCTGGAAGCATGAGATTAGGGGTCTTTCTGGAGGACAGCCTGGAAGTATCTGTTGAAATATTGAGTGCATATGCCCTCTGTTTTGTTTTTTTTTTTTTTTGTACA